GCAGAAAATTCAATGGGAGACTCTGACTCCTTTTAAACCCAGTCAGCCAAGCCAATGGTTCAGGATGATGGAGACTGTAGTTGGGTATGTGAAGGAGAAACTCAATTCAGCTTGCGTTTAAAGGCAAATGTAACAAATTAGCGCTTTTGGAAAAGCGATGTGGAAATGTGGAGAACCGAAGCTAAGAATGGAGTGTGGTGGAGTCTCCTTCTTTGGAGGTCTTTAAGCAGAGGCTTGACAACCATATGTCAGGAGTGCTCTGATGGTGTTTCCTGCTTGGCAGGGGGTTGGACTCGATGGCCCTTGTGGTCTCATCCAACTCTATGATTCTATGAATGGAAAAATGAGAAACTGGGAGAACCCCAAACAGACATATTCACCTGTCATTAGCTGTGGTCCAGCAACATCAGAAGGGCCACAGGGCCCCTGTCTTTAACTGCTGGTCCCCGTAAGGGACAGTTGCATATTCCTGCATTGCAGGGGATTGGACTAGATGTTCCTCAGGGTCTCTTCCAGCTCTATGCTTCTATGTAAAGAGGAATTCCAGCAGATGCTTTGAACTTTAGTCCTCCTTTTCCTATGGAGGTCCAGCTCCAAGGCCCTTGTGGTGGTTCCCTCACCGTGAGAAGTGAGGTTACAGGGAACCAGGCAGAGGGCCTTCTCGGTAGTGGCACCTGCCCTGTGGAACACCCTCCCATCAGATGTCAAAGAAATAAACAACTGTCTGACTTTTAGAAGACATCTGAAGGCAGCCCTGTTTAGGGAAGTTTCTAATGACTGGTGTTTTAATGTATTTTTAATCTTTTGTTGGGAGCCGCCCAGAGTGGCTGGGGAAACCCAGCCAGATGGGCGGGGTATAAATAATAAATGATGATGATGATGATGATGGAAGGGGGGGAAATAGCCTGAATGACCACCAGCCAAAGTAAAGAAACAGGTTGTTCTTCCATTTCCTCCACCCCCTCCCTTTGCTAAAAATACAAATTATTTTCAATTAGAGGTGTAGAGGGAATGTGCCAAACATCCCTGAGGATTTTGCTAGTTTTATGAATGCTTTCTGATTCCTCTCCACATTCCTCAGGCACTGTGCCTGAAGAGACACATTTAATTTTGCTTCCAATTCAATCGTAAGTGAAATCCTGTGGCAAACATCTCCTCAGGCATGTCCCTATTGGCCCTGCATAGCAATTCCACACCCCTTGAACATTTCTGACAATTGAACAATATGACAACAAAACAACAACAAAAACCAACCATCTCCTGAGTAATATTTGTTGTTTCCAAAATCTCAAACCCCAAAGTGCATGAAAGGCTCTTTATTGAGGTTTGTGATGTGGTATGATGAAATAAGGAAACAAGTGGCAGTTCTAGTTTTGGCTCAGCCCTCTCTCAAAACACATAGCTTCATCTTTTCCTTTAAAAATAGCATTTTTATTTATTTTTATTTGCATTCAAAGTATGCTTTTTTACTTCACTACTTTAACTGCACTTACAGTTTTATTAACATTTCTTGAAAAATGTTTACCATAAACATCTTAGTGTGTCTAATTTGCCTTCCAGAGAGCCTAGCAAAAATTTGGAATGCATTTGGGTACTGCAGAATATTTCTTTTCCTGTGCAATTATGGGAGGGCATTCTAATTAACCCTGAAGAAGTCAAGGTAATACTGAAAGATGTTTTGAATTGCTTGTAATAAAAGCATGCAATTGGAGATCCCTGCCTCCCTCTCAGCTCTCCTTTCTAAGAAACTCTGTCTTTGCTTTGGAGTGTACCACTTTTGTCAGTGATCAGAGAGGTGCAATTAATCTGATATGTTTGAAGTGATACATTATCCTTTCTCATGGCAAACAACTCATCTTCAACAGACTGCACAGCTGTTTGAAGAAAACTATACAGCCAGAGACTAGGGATGGAAGAGAATTCTAAAGCAAACAGACCTAAATAGTGTATTCTACTGGACTTAACAATATGGATCAAGATGCAATTCCCCTTCAGATTTTGTACTTACCTGCATTTTGTGAGAGAGTTCTCAGCTCAATCAACATACCCAAAATGTGTATTTTCGGATAAAACGTATTTAGAAATGTGTACGTTGTGGACTGGCCACCAAGCCCATATAACACAAGTCCTGAAAGACCTACATTGACTCCCAGTACATTTCCGAGCACAAGTGTTGCTGCTGACCTTTAAAGCCCTAAACGGCCTCAGCTCAGTATACCTGAAGGATCGTCTCCACCCCCATCGTTCAGCCTGGACACTGAGGTCCAGCTCCGAGGGCCTTCTGGTGGTTCCCTCCCTGTGAGAAGTAAGGTTACAGGGAACCAAGTAGAGGGCCTTCTCAGTGGTGGTGCCTGCCCTGTGGAATGCCCTCCCATCAGATGTCATGGAAATAAACAAACATCTGACTTTTAGAAGACATCTGAAGGCAGCCCTGCTTAGTGAAGTTTTTAATGTTTGATGTTTTATTGTGTTTTTAATATTCTGTTGAGAGCTGCCCAGGGTGTCTGGGGAAACCCAGTCAGATGGGCAGGGTATAAATAATAACTTCTTCCTTTTCTTCTTCTTCTTCTTCTTCTTCTTCTTCTTCTTCTTCTTCTTCATTTTGTGATTCAGTATATATTTCAATCTGTAGTTTAATGTGAATTTATATACTTTAAAAAAGAAATGGTGTGTTAATGTGTAAACAGGATAGAATGGACTAACAAATAAGCAGATGCAAAACTAATGGGCTAGAAATAGATGGATCTTTCCATCCCTACTAGAGATATGACATGTTTTTGCTTTTATATTATTTATTTATCATATTTGCATTGACCCTTTCCACCAAAGAGGAATGCTCAGTCCAGCATACATGAGGTTGTATTTACAGTAGCTCTCTGTAACTCACAAGGACATGGGTGGGGGGGAATAGGCAATGTTGACTGATCATGGCTGAGTGAAGCACACTTCATGACTGAGTACAAATGTACTTCTTTTACTGACTTACTTCAATAGATCACTGTCCCGCTTTTTCTATGTCGCGTATTCAAAGGAGCAACTAACATGCCCATCTACGAGGATTAACCATATCAGTTTAGGGTTAGTAAAAGAAGCACATTAAAATGCTGTGACAAATACTATATATTGGGATCTGTACTCTCCGGAGTGTTAAATGTTTGCTTGTTTTTCGCTTCTCTGTATTACTCAGCATGTAGGCTCTTGCATGCAGCCAGTAAATATTATGTTCATGAGTTGGAGGCTAGATTAGCCCCTGAAGCTGTGGCCTTGGCTTAATAGCTTGATGTTTACAGTTCAGTAAATAAAAGTGCTTTGTCTTGATAATAATAATAATAATAATAATAATAATAATAATAATTGTGGCAGCTGTGGTAAATCATCTACAATAAAAAAAATGCCGCAGCCACCAGAGGTCAAAGTTCTGCTGTAGGCGCTGAACTGCCCATCTGAAAGAAGCAAAGAATGAGAGTCTGGTTGGTGGATTGCTCCAAGAAGGGCATTTCACAAGGCTCAGCTACCATTCCTCTAATGCCAACAGAGTTGCTTACTCCAGAGTGGCTGCTGCCCTTCTGGCAGGTTCAAATGAGCTGAGGTGTTTCTTTTGATGCCAGGCCATTCATATATATATATATATATATATATATATATATATATATATATAAAATTAAATTACTAATACCCCGCCCTCCTCGGCCAGAACCAGGCTCAGGGCGGCTAACGCCAATAAAATTACAATAAAACGTAATAGAAAAAGAAAGAACAGTTAATTAAAATACGGGTTAAAATACAGGTTAAAATACAATTTAAAATGCAGTCTCATTTTAGTAGTAGCCCATAAATCAAAACCATAAGGGGAGGGAAACATAAGGGTCAGACTGAGTCCAAACCAAAGGCCAGGCGGAACAGCTCCATCTTGCAGGCCCTACAGAAAGATGTCAAGTCCGCAGGGCCCTGGTCTCTTGTGACAGAGCATTCCACCAAGTCGGGACGAGTACTGAAAAGGCCCTGGCCCTAGTTGAGACCAATCTAACCTCCTTGCAGCTCAGGACCTCCAAAGTGTTGTCATTTGTGGACCTTAAGGTCCTCTGCAGGGCATACCAGGAGAGGCGGTCCCGTAGGTACGAGGGTCCTAGGCTGCATAGGGCTTTAAAGGTCAAAACCAGCACCTTAAACCTGACCCTGTACTCCACTGGGAGCCAGTACATTTGGTAAAGCACTGGATGAATGTGGTCCCGTGGCAAGGACCCTGTAAGGAGCCTCGCCGCAGCATTCTGCAACCGCAGCATTCTGCAACCGAATACTAGCCTTCCTATGAGGCTGCTTACATTTGCTGTGCAAAAATAGAAATGTTGAAAATGAAGAGCAATGGGGAGGGTTATTGGCACTGAGACATACAATTAAAACATTGCATGATTGTGAGCTTTGATGATCTTCCTTGGATCACAAGCTTTAGTCTTTGGATCTCATCCCCAATACATGACAGGTTAGAAAAGCAAGCTGAAGACCAAGTATCCGTCTTTGAACATCAGCATCAAGTTGCACTGCTGCAAAGCAACATCAGGTTTCAGTTACTGCCCGATACCAAGCCTTTATTATTTAAGATGTAGTTAGGCACCCACAGCTCTGTGGAAATATGGTAGCTTTGTTTATATCTACACCCCTAGGCAACGAGAATGTCCCATCATTTAACTATTGTCAATTCATGGCCTGGGAATCTCTGTCCTTTTTCTCAGCCTGCCAGGGGGCAAATGTTTTAGTGTTCTCTCAAGAGAACCTGACTGGATCAGGTGTGCTCAGGAGAGCCAAGGGCTGGCAGGTTATTGCCATTTTAAGACAAGAAAGGGATTGTGACTCTTAGTGCTGCCTAAATGAATACATTGCTTGATTTTATTTAAACTATTTATTTCATCATTCACATTTCTAGGTCTGCAGTGGCCTTACATATAACTCAGGTGTTTTCCCAGACAAAATTACCAAATGACAGCTATCAGCTAACTCTGAAGGGATAGCTCAGTCAGTAGAGCATGAGACTGTTCATCTCAGGGTTGTGGGTTTGAGCCCCATGTTGAGCAACAGATTCCTGCATTGCAGGGAGTTGGACTAGATGACCCTACCAACTCTTCTATGATTCTAGTCAGCCATTTGCCGTCAGATAAGTCGTCCAGACATAATTCATGACCCCTTTTAAGTGGTTTCCCCCACAGACAACCTACTCTCCTTCAGACACGCCAAGTTATCCCCAACATTGTGGGGGTCTGTCAAATGTGTATGACATCACACACATGCCATGCCCCCCCTCACTTAGCCAGACTGACTCGATCCATCTACATGTATGCAAATACAAATTGCCTGGTGCAGAGGATGAGCTATAGAAAATAACTGTCTAGAAATGAGAGAGAGAGAGAGAGAGAGACTGTGGCCAGGCCAGTTTAATATTGTAGCTATAACAGAAGCAGCCATTTCATTGCCGTGCAAAATGGAAACAATCGAAATAGTACAGCGGTAGAATCAATCATGGCTTATTTCCTCCTGTTGTCGCCATTACATTGCTGGTGGAATAAAACACAGAGGGCTTTGTTAATGCAGAGCTTTGTCCTATAGTGGCCAACAAAACATTCCTTTGACATTTATTCCTATGGCTGTTAATTGAGTGACTGGAAGCAAAGTGGGAAGAGGGATCCAGTATTGTTTGGAGTGGTATAGAAAAATAAATTTGGGCAGCTGCACTGCTTGCTATGCTGGGCTGAGGAAAAGGGCAACGGCTGCATCATGAGTCTTACAGGGGCAGGTGTTCTGCCTTCCTTTGCATGTCACCATGCTGGCCACCAAACCATTTTACTGATACCTTAGGTTTTGTCAAACGTGGGGGTCACACCGTACACCTGTCACTGGACACTGCACAAGAAGCTCCTGAGGAGCTTCCCCCAAAGAAGTCCCTGCAGAATGAAACCTCAATTCCCAGAAGAAACCAATAGCTGAAGTAAAAAAAGCACTAGCCTTTTAATTGGTCAGATGCAGTGCTTGGGGATGTGATCTAGCTATCTAGCCCAAACTATAATGATTGGCAGTTGCTTTAGGGCAGTGCTGAGGCAACTAGCTCTTGCTGGCTCAGCGCAGGTTGGTAAACTGTGATCCTGAAACTTGCCTTGGTTTCCAGTCTGTTCCAGAGCACTGGGCCTACTGCTCTCCATCTTGCCTTGGCCATCTTCTAGCTGGTGGAAATCACATTGGCAGTTTAAAGCAGGGTTGGGAAATGTCCAGCCTGCAGGCCAGATATAGTTCATGGGTCTCCCCTTGTCACCCAGCCTTGGGTGAGCCATTGGGAAGCTGTCTACAAGCCTAAATTCCATGTGACATTTTTTATGGGAGGGTGTTGCAGTTGCGACGGAAAGTGTTAAGTTTTCCATGTACTGCAATTCTTCTACCAACTCTCTTTCTTCCTCACCAACCCCAGTGCAGCAGTTAAGGTTGAAAAGGTGCCCCATTAGCTGCAACTGTAAAATTAACATGCATTTTGTCAGCCCTGGTCAACAATCCCTCCCTCTGGCCTAATTCTGCCGGAGGTTGTAAAACAGTGTCTTGGCTGTAAAACTGCAGACTGCAGGGAGAGATTTGTAGGACTGCGTGTTCTTCCATAAAGGATAAAATCCCCTCTGCACAGAAACCAGCATATTGAGGAGGAGGTTTCCACAACCCCTTCCCTTCGCCTTAACATGCTAGCTTGCTATATTTGGGGAATACTTTTTGCATGAAGAAGCAATTAAATCGTGTGAGCAGCCTAAAATGTTTTCCAAGATTCAGACCAGGAGAATGTTCCAGACCCTCCAAGTGTCCCTATTTTCCAGGAACAGTCCCAGAGTTACAGAAGCCGTCCCAGTTTCTGATTTGATCCTGGAATGTCCCACTTTTCCTTAGGATGTCCCTATTTTCACTGGAGAAATGTTGGAGGGTATGGTGTTCAGAGACCTTGAAATCCAAGGTGATAAGACCATGGTAGTTTCTCCCGCCTGGCCCTGAAATCCACCCTCCTCCTCTCCTTGCTGTGTGGTATACCTGGATCAATTTCAGCATCTTGGGGCAGATGTTGTGGATGATGGTCCAGGGATGGAATGAACAGGTAAAGCTACAATTGCCTGTATTAGGGAAGGAAAAACTGTGACCCTCCAGATGTTGCTGAACTACAACTCACATCACGGCTGGGAACTGCTGTCCAACGACACCTGGAGGTGTCACAGGTTTCAAATCCCAGGCTTATCCCTTTCCACTTCAACATCATGAGAACTTTGTGCAGATCTGAAAGCTATGCAGCCCAGCCCTAGGTTTACAGTTTCAGCATTAGTCAGCACTTGCAGAAGGGAGGCATCTACATTTCCAATGTCGATGCCATAGAAGATGCAACAAAGAAGCCCCAAGTTCCTTTTTGCAGCCAAAGCACCCATTAATTATTATGACAGATACTGGGCTTCATGAAACATAACTCTGATGGCTCCTTCTATTGTTCCTTACACGAAGCTAATTAAATGGTAAAATTGTGAAAGTGTCACCTGGCATATCTCCTGCTAATGACATTTGTAGAAAAGTATAATAAAGGCTATTTGTTTTCCCCTGCTCTGTTCAGAAGCCAGCTTGAGGATAGAGGCTATCTCCCAAACACATGTGATCATCTATTCTTACTGCTCTATTAACCCTGAAAAGGAGCTGGGCTGGATGAAGCTAACCAAGATACTTCACTTCCCTGTTTGACAGGCGACAGAAGCTTGTGGCAGAAAAGCTTTCATCTGCAATCCATCCCTAAAATGAGTCATAACTAAAAACATCACCCGGGAAGAAAACGTGTTTCAGCACACCCATTAAGCAGGCAGTTGTCTGTGCTACCCCATCAAATATTTTACTCTTTCGCTATTATTTTAATTAGAACCTCTTCCGCACCAATTTGCATTTTAGAGGTTGTACGTGGCACAACACATTTGGCTCACTGTAATGTTGACAGCAAAAAGAGGCTACGTTAATATCTGCCTGCTTTTGTGTGAGCATTTCCATGGATTTGTGCATTTCATACTTATTTTGGAGTTGTGCTTCCTTAATTAAAACGTCCCCCATGGACGGTTTGTGTCAGGGTAAAGAACGGAGCACAGATTCCAATGAAATTAAAGGCAAAATGTCATACAAGATGAAGCAACGGCTGAGGTGACCCACAGAGCAGGATAATCTTCGTATGACAGGCACATCTCTATGGTGATCAGCAGTAATGTCTTTGAGAGTGGGCCTTGTGAGCGGCAGGCTTGCTATCCGGTGATAAAGATATCAAATCCCCCCAGCTTCTGAAGAGACAAGTGCTGTGCTGCATTTTTCTGCTGGCTGCGCTCCAGACGGAAAATTTGCTCATGTCCCATATTTCTTAAATGTTTCTTTCAGCAACATTTAAAACCCACCGAAAACCAGGGAAAAATATGATGGGGTAAATCCACATACACCCTGATAAAAACTGTGTCATTTATTTGGCCATCACAAAATTTTAGGGTTCCCTGCAGGATATCAAAAACCTCTTGGTAGCCCATGTATGGGCTGCAAGCCCTGGTCTAAACCCTAGAACAACCTCCCTCAAACTGGCAACAAGGCTGCAGACAGGAATTCAAGCCATACCTGCAGACTGGCCCACATGCCTGTGTTCTTGATGAGATTTTTTCCTTAACCCCACCATAGCATTGTGAAAGTATCTCAGAGATGGCCGCTCAGGAGAGATGACCTTGAAATTAAAAAAAAATGTGGCCTAGTAATCACTGAAGCTGGTGTAGGGTGAAATCCTTTACTTCTAATGCCTCTCACAGGTGGAAATGCAGGGCGGTTAACTTACCAATGTGCAGCTGAGCTTAAGTGTTAAGCTCAATACCTAGGAAGGTGAGGGTTGTGGCCATCCCTTTGGATTTCTCAAGCACCAAAGGAAGTTATTTAATCTCAAGACAGTCTCAGTTAGGTGTGAACATTGCTGGGTCCCTGCAGCCCTGACAAAAAGAAAACCACCAAAATGATGCACTGTTAATTGAGATGCCACCCACTCTCAGAGCAACCATTCCAAAAAAGGAACTGAATGCCTCAAATGTCAAGCAAGAAATCAAACAGCCCATTGGCATAGTCCTATCCGGAAAGTATTGCCCTTGGAACAGGGACCAGATTGCACATGCTGCAAGAATTGCAGCCTTTAGCCTGGAGGTCAGGGTTAAAGCTGTTCGTTATGAGAGTGTTTCAGGGATACATCTAACTCCTGTTCCCCAGTGCCTCAGGAGAGCAGTGAAGACTGAAATTTAAGAGCATGGCAGATAAGGAAATAATAAAAGGGTGTAACATAATAGCTTTCTGTGTTTAGCACATCCGGTACAAGTTTTGTGACTCAGCCAGTGTGATCGTATTATTCCATTCATTTCCTGTGAATGTGCCAAGTAATTGTCTCTCATAATTCACCTTTTTGGGGGTTTTTCTGCTAAAATGAATTGAAAACAATCACAACCGTCTGACTTCCAAGTTCATCAGTACCATACAGACAATCAAAATTTTCCAACAAGCATTTTGGTTGGTTGTTTAAAAATTAGATCAGCAGAGTTCCTTATCCATCACGAGAGCAATTTCTCCCAAACTCTCCAAGCAAATGTGTGGCTTAACAGAAAAATCCATTGCTAAGAACATGCAGCAAAACTTTTTTCAGTAGAGCGGATTGCTAGTTCTAATAACAGCACTGAAGTTATATTGTCACCCCTCCCCTACTTTTTAAATAAAATCACCTTGGAAAACTCAACATGTAGTCAATTCTAAAGGAAAACAAATCTGTGAACAGGGAGGATTACACTGTCAGCAGGGGCGAATGATGTGCTGTGTTGCTGCATTATGGAGCACTATGAACAATTCTGCATAAAGCATATCATTGGAAAGAATTTGCAATTTGGAATCAAGGATTTTTGCGCTAGAGATGCATGTTGAATTAACCTCTGGAAAGCTTTAGAACAACGGAAGGCTTAGATGGAGGCTAAACTTAGACTCGGTGCGGAATGAGCGCCACAAAACACACACACATACGGAGCTG